TCTACGACCTAATGTCAAACCTTTTTTAAAACTGATAGGTTTTTAATATTCTGTTGTACAAAATGGTTAGTAACGTAAATTTACATTCCGCTTTTGTTGTTACTTCTTGTTTCATACAGCAATTGTAGCGGCTTGATCACTGAGCTTTGCAGCTCTCTGCCGCAGGCAGACTGTTTGTAGTCGAGTGAATAATGCGCATGCGCGGTTTTTCTTGGGGAAACATTCTTATGCTTATGCAGCAGGTTTTCGGTCAGAAAGGGTAAGGGTCGTACATACAAACAAGCAGAATAATAGCATAGATAATTTGTGAAAATATTGTGATCAGCATTTTTTTTTTTATGTTTCAGACTATTGAAGCGGGCCATCTTCACGCAATGGATGATTAACGCTGCAAATTTAATTTAATTGCCCAGTGGGACCTTTAACTCGTATTATTTTTCTTTTCTTCAAAACAATGAATTGGGTATTTTTCTTAACAGTATAAGGCTTAACATTTCATTTTGCCGTCTTCCCAAACGTTAATCTCTTAACAGTCAACGAATAGGCCTACTTATACTTTCTGTTCAACGCTATAGCAACAGGGCAAACATACGTAAGCTTAATAACTAATTATAAAAGGCTTATTCCATTTGTCACTATTTCAAGAACGCTTTCATACTCATTTTCTGGTTATGCTCAACAATATACATCGCCGCTTAGCAACAAAACTGTTACCTGATTGTTCTTAGGACAACTATGATGTTTATGTTGAATGTTCAGTATTCATGTTGATTTGTTAAAAGGTTTGTTTTTTATTCTTTATTTTTTTATAGTTTCGGTGATATAACAGCAAAATAGTTTAATTCAGAAGTTTTATGACATTGAGTTGTAGCCAAAATCAAAATAAAATTTATCAAGTAGTGTTTTAGCTGAGCCTACGTAACGTTTATTATGTATTAGGCCTAATGCTTAAATTAGACTACAAATAGGTCTACTGTTACTGATGTTATAGAGTCAGTGGCACAGCGGCATGTCTGCGGACTTACAACGCTAGAATCCGGGTTTCGATACCCGTGTTGGGCAGAGCACAGATAGCCTCTTGTGTAGCTTTGTGCTTAATTACAAATAAATAAATAGAGTCAGTGTTTAAAAAGTTTTAAGTGTTAATTAATAAATATTTTTTTCGGTATTTTAACACATATTATCTACTTGGACTTAAAACATAAAGAAAAATGAAGATTTAATACTACCAAATATCTTTTATCCTTTATACAGTCGAAAGAGTTCAAAATTTGTGTCGGAATGTCCACACTGTCTTCTACTATAGTTGTGTTTACATCAGTATTGATATTACCGACTTAGATCGAGTGGAGTTACTATAGTTGTGTTTAAATCAGTGTTGATATTACCGAATTAAATCTTGTAGAGTTACTGTAGTTGTGTCTAAAATAAGTGTTGATATTACCGAGTTAGATCGGGTGGAGTTTCTGATGGATTAAAATATTTACTATGTTTGAAACAGTGAGCTACTGCGTCTTGATCCCGGTTAGAGAACGTTTTTCGGGAAAAGAAATAAATAGATATCAAACAGCTTTCCCACAAAAGTACATGCCGCGTGTATTCCGCCTCTGTCTTTTACTGGAGCCAGCTGACACGGCGACGGTAACCATGGAAACAGAGCTAATAAGCCGATTGAAGCGTTATTGAACAAGCAGGCATTGGCAGTTAGTGATAACGCCGAATCTGCATCTCGCACCGTGTTGTGTGCCCCCCCCCCCGTACTTTTGCCTAGAACTACACGTTCACGACCTTACTAACTTCACATACTCTTATACTGTGAAGTCATTGTTAAGATACTCAAAGCTGGGGATTATGGTGCTTTGTTCGTGTGCCGTCGTTTCTTTTGTTAGATCGTGTACATAATTTTGTGCTTGTTTAAAGATACTGGACTTTTGTCATCAGATTTGGAAATAAACATTTATTGTTAGGTATAGTATTTGGTGATTATTTAAACCTATTATAGCGCCCCGGTGGCTCAGAGGTAAGTCTGCGCGCTTATAACGCTAAAAATCGGGATAGCACGGATAGCCCATTGTGTAGCTTTGTGATTAAACACAAACAAAACAACAACAACGATGTCTGTAGCAAAGAAGTAATATAACTTTTATCTAGATTGTTTAATGATTTTTCTGTAATATACATGAATTTTATACGTTGGCTAAAAAAATAAATATTCCAACAAAAATTGAAGTAACTTTAACGTTCACCAAATAGGGATTTCAAATCAATTAACACGTAGTCATTATTTAAAATCTGTCGCGTTGTTTTATATACGGGTTACCATATAATGTTCTCCAACTAATGGTTTTGTGAAGAATGGATGTCGTGATATCTAGAAAACACAAGAAAAGTATATAGTTTATCCTATTGTAAAAATAAAATAAAATGAAAGACCCTTTGCAAGGTTCCAGACTTCTTTTTCAATCGATTAGGTAAGGTTTACAAACTTACAGCGCCATCTGGTGATATAATTAAGAACTACTAAAATGGTTATACTACCATCTACGATTAGTAAGATAATATATTGTGTTTTAAAATGGTGTTTGGTAATGTTTTTAAGTTGTACACTCAGTCATGTTACAACTAATATGGTATTTTAACAATATTTTTTATTTTTGTATTAGTTACCTTCAAGTCAGAAAGTAATTGTCTAGTTATTTAGTTTGTTTTCTTTTCTCAAAATTATTAAGTTTTCTTCTCAAACTATAGACACCATCCCATTATAGATTTTCGCTGTTTTAATTACACCTATTTTTGTACCAAAGTCAAACTTTTTTTCCTACAAGTAAATCACTTCTGTCAGCAAATAGAACATCTGATAGATGTTTTTTTTTCACAGATAAATCACTTCTGTAAAAAAACAGAACATCTGATAGATGGTTTTTACCACAGCTAAATCACTTCTGTAAACAAATAGAACATCTGGCAAATGGTTTTTTTCCACAGATAAATCACTTCTGTAAACAAATAGAACATCTGATAGATGGTTTTTACCACATATAAATCACTTCTGTAAACAAATAGAACATCTGGCAAATGGTTTTTTCCACAGATAAATCACTTCTGCAAACAAATAGAACATCAGATAGCTGATACTGGTACAGATCACTAACTTCTCAACAAAAAGAGCATCAGATAGCAGGTTTTCCCTAAAGGTAAGTTATGTTTGGGCTGTGCGTAGCCTAGTGGTTAGCTTACCCAGACTGTGTATTTGAGGGTTCGTGGCTTATATTTCATTGCTACAAAAATGCATTCTGTACATTGGGCTTGTCACTATAAGAGTGACTGTCAATTCCCACTATTTCTACAGATAAGAGTAACTGAAAAATTGGCAGTTGGTACTGTTCACTAGCTGCCTTCTCTCTAGCTTATCAATTTAAAATTGGAGACTACTATGTAATAATAGCTCTTGTGTAGCTTTATGCAAATAATATAAAACAAGGTCATTTCTATTAACAAAAAGAATGTTATATTCCGTATGGTATACAGTGCATATGTATTTGATATTTTACTGTAAGTGTATCAGGCAAGTGAGATGAAATTGGCACACTAGTGATATATGGAAAATAATATTACAGATTTTTCAGATAAGTTTATTTAGGTGACATTTAACACATGACATTAAGTTGCAGGTCCTGCAAATAACTTGAATGTTACTGTGCAGATTGAAAGAGTTTCAAGAAGATGGTATCTCATTCAGAATATTATGTCTGCTCTATCTTAGTTCTGTTTTCACATAAATGAAGAAGAGTTGCTCAGAGTTTATTGTTTTTAAAAATAATAATTTCCTGTATAAGTGTGTATGAACAAAACTATTGTTAAACATTGTTTCTTTTTTAAATGTTGCTAACAAGTTATGGGTATAAATATATAATGTAGTTTTATTTTATATTTATGTTTTGTTATTACCAGACTAATCTTAATATTTGAAATTATTACAAAATAAAGTTGTTTTTACTGCATGTTTTTCAGGTAAATAAGATGAAGTAGACGAGAACTACAATTATTCAATGTTTTCTGAGTCCATGAAGACCAAGCATATGTATGGTGTTGTATAAGAATATTGCTGTGCCCAAAGACAAACTCACTCACTTGAAGAATTTGCTATATATTTCTGGTGAGAAAAAATTTTGGTTATTTCTAAATCTTGATAACAAATGTTGTTAATGTACACTTCTTGATTTTACATAAACTGGTTCTTTCAATAAAACACATGTTGTTAATGTACAGTTCTTGGTTTTACATTAACTGTTCTTTCAATAAAACA